TATGAATAAAATACATGGAGAAGGTTTGCGTTACTTTGGGTGCATGGAGAAGGTTTGTGACCTCACGTTGAGAGGCGCGCGTTTCCCGTTTACATTGTTGCAGGTTTGGTGATAGCTTAACTACCCATGCAAAGATCTACCACCAACGCTCCCGTCTGAACATTGCTGCTTGTAGGATTCCAAGAGCCAATGATGTCGTTGACTCCATACCTGTCTGTCACATGGCACACACCATGTGTTTTATTCACGTAGGCCATTGTAGCAGATGTATAGATAGATAGATAGATAGATAGATAGATAGATAGATCACAATCAGATTTTTATGTAGCTTAGGGTATTCTTCTACTAAATCCTATCCATTCTCATAGACTATCTATCTTTGGTGGTGTCATTGGGCTTCACAATTGTATAAATAGAGGCAAGCCATGTTTTGGTGACAAGGTGGAGGAATTCTTGGGAGTCAGGTACAGTTTCTTCCAGGAGTCCAATGGGGAGATCACAGATGTAGCAGAACTGATGCATCCAGCTCACACATACTGGCAGACCTCATGACTGCATCTGAGCTATGGAAATGATGATTCCAGCTAACATATGCCCATTTTTATGTCCAAGGCAAGGAGACAAGGAGAAGGACTACTGACTGCCACTGGACTCGCGCTCGACGAGCGACTTGACATGGATGAACTCCTCCACCGTGCAAGGAAGCTTCAGTGGAACTGGGGCACCGGAGCGGTAGCCGTAGACCTTCTTGGCCCTGTCGAGAAGACCAGCAAAGTATGGATGATTAATATAAGTTACAGGCATCGTGAGCTTCTGCAACCCACCATCTCCTTCTTCGTTCTGGAGGCCAACTTCCACTGTTAGGTGTCGCTTCATCTTCCTTCCTCCTCCTGTCCCAGACATGGAAACAGTACACATTAGATCGATCTTAGTCAAGCGATAGGAGAGGAAAAAAGATAGTTACGGAGCCGAAGTAGAACCAAGGAAAGGTCCAGGCTTGTTCTTGGGTTACCAAGAAGGTCAATTGAAGGGCTTGTAATAGGGAGAATGATCTGATGGTGGTTTCCATGTGGGATGAATTTGATTTAACGTAGAATCGTAGGTGCAGAGTTACAAATCCTGAAGACACCCTCACTAAATCATTCTCAGTGCATGCAGCAGAAGATTGGCCAAAGTGAACAGTGTTTGCCATTCAATGTCGGGTGTTGAATGAAAGGGATGCAAGATGCATGCATATGCATCCTTGTTGACCTTTCCCTCTCTTCATATACGGTAACATCTTACCTAATGATGCACATCAGAAATGATCACAGCTGATCTCTCCATGCAATGCACTGAGAATATTATTTGTCAGTGAACCATTACGTCGTGATCGAGGTGTCAGAATTGTCCACACGGATGCTCGGGTCACTTCGACGTCGGGTCGGGTTGCTGCTGTTTCGTTGTCGAGTTCTTACATATAAGTCAAGGGCAGGAGGGAGATTTTCCGACTCTATCATTCGAAGTTTAAGTTAGTGTTGAATGGAGTTCTTAGAATCTATCCTCCTCTACTTGATGAGGATCAGTAGACTTTATACCATTAAGCGAGGGTCGATCGTACTTGATTTGATGATGGCAACCAACTCTTTGGGCGGTCGGCTTGTACTAGTGTGCGAGCGCCGGTTACCCTGTGTGGAATGGCACCGCGAAGCACTGCTCCGAGCTTCCCAGAGCGGCTCCATTCCACACAGTGTTGCCTTGTACAACTTTGGATGACAGGGGAAGGTGGCGTTGTTCCTGGCTTTTCGGAGTGATTGCCTCATATAATTTCAGATGGCACGGGAAGGGGTTATTGTTCTCCCGAATCTAAGGTGGGGCATCCGACACGATGCTCTATCTCAGTCTCGAAGCTTCATATTTGTGCTATCATGGTAGCTAATCTCAGTCTCGATGCCAAAATATGTCCTATCATTCTCTACCATGCTTCGAGGTCCTCATGGGGGTTGGGGGGGGGGGGTGTGAGCTCGGGGCATGGCTTGGTCCCTTCTGTCGATTGGGTCATTCATTACATTGAGATTGGTGAGGAGGTTCGCCGAAATGCTGCTTGGGTGATGATTGGCCGAGGTACACAACTCGGGTAGGGATTGGACTTGTTGACCAAGGTACCCAACTCGGGCACAAGCTGGACTGGTTTGTCGAGCCGCTGCTCAAGCGATGATTGGCTGAGATGCACAACTCAGGCAAGGACTAGACCTGCTGACTTACGTACCCAACTCGGGCACGGGTTGAACTGGTTCATTGAGACGCTGCTCGAGTGATGATTGGCCGAGATGCACAACTCGGGCAGGGACTAGACTTACTGACCGAGTTACCCAACTTGGGCATAGGTTGGACTGGTTTGTTGAGATGCTACTCGAGCGATGATAGCCGAGATGCACTACTCGAGTAAGGACTGGACCTGCTGACCGAGGTACCCAACTCGGGCACAAGCTAGACTGGTTCATCGAGATGTTGCTCAAGCGATGATTGGCCGAGATGCATGACTCGGGCAAGGACTAGACCTACTGACCGAAGTACCCAACTTGGGCATAGGTTGAACTGATTCGTCGAGACGCTAAATTTAACCGAGGTGCCCCTTTCGGGTGACGAGGGTTGAAATTGGGTAGGAAACCATAGACGACGCATCGTAGCTTTTGGTGGGAAACCATTGACGATGCATCATGGGTTTTGGCAGGAGTTTTCGGGCGATGGAGATTGGCAAATCTAGTAGGATATGCTATCATTAAATGCCGCCACTATTTCTTACCTAGGGGAGGCCAAACGTCACCTTGTCGCGATGGGCTTCCTCCTTATAAACCCCTTTCTATGTGATGGTGGGGTATCACTCAGCCTCTGCATTCCTGTTTTACACCTCGGACTATCCCTTTCGGTCATCGACTTCGAGGTCGGGATGTCTTGGTCTTCTTCATCTTTCTCAAGTCGGTCCCCTCCCGAGGTCAACGAGTCGACTTCCGGGAGTTCCAGTGTAGAGGTCGTCAGTTTGTCCTCCGGTGGCATGCCCCCGACGGATTCTATAGCTTTTGCGGCTCTCCAAGAGATGAGATCGACTTAGTGAAATTATTATATCGGGCCTAAAAGAAGGCCCATTAGGCAATCAAGTAAGAAGGCCCATTAGCCATAATTCCAACAGTACGTTGAATGATTTGCCGAGGACATGTGAAATTAATTGATTCCGACTCAAACCCCTATCATTCATTCAAAGTAGTATCATCCAAATATATATAATTAATAATAATTATTATTAGATGCTGGATGATGATGATTGACTACGACCCAATTGTATATTAATATATTAATTGACTTTCTAGACCAATTGTGAGAATGGTTAGATCGGTCTGATTTCTTAGTCACACAAATTAGATTTAATCTAACCGATCTATTCAACAGTTCGAATTGTCAATCTTAGTTGGCATGAGATGGCAAAACTTATTAACATGCTAAACATGTGTGTGCGATATTAAAAATGGTTTCTTTTCTTTGATTTCAAAGGAAACAAAGCCATAAGTTGGGCACTAAAGAAAGAAGCACTACTGCTTGATATAATAAAAATAAAGAGGTTAGGTAGCTTGCAGATCTTGCAAATGCTCCTCTCTAGACATGACACCAACTTCATAATCAAGCATAGCAGATAGGAATTCCCAGAGAGTTGGGCATATCAGTTGGGAAACCTGAGAGAAGGGAAAGGGTTCTTTATTCCTAATTGTGTGTGGTTCTTATGTCATAGATTATCCTCCTTCCCCAAACAATCTAATAACATTAATTTAGGAAAACTTTCTTGATGTGTCATCTGAGATTGCAGTGTTTTTCTTTTCTTTTCCTATTTATGTCTTGGGAATTGTGTCTTGAACTATTAAGAGGTCTGCTTCTTTGTTAAAAGTCAAGAGAATTTAGAGCAAGTGTTGAAACCCCAATGTTTATGTCATAATTAATAGGTCAACCATTTGATAACTTGGCTCTAATAGGCAGAGTCTCAACCACTAAGTTACTAAAGGTCAGCCTGTTTCTTTGTTTGAAACTGTAAAGATTTGATGAAAGCAGCATTATATTTTGTGGGGGCACTATTGCTAGTATCATAATTGGTTACTTCTCGTATTTAAAGCGAGTCGTGTATCTACTCCGATAATACTATTATCAACGAAGATCCGAATAAGAAATACACTTCTTGAAAAATAAAAAAAAATGATATACTTTTGTTTAGTATTTCGGACTAAATTCTTTTGATACTCGATCATGTTGTTCATATCTACATTAAAAAAAAAAAACCAGTCATTTTTTTTGTTGAGATCAATTAGATGAATATTTCCACTATCATCTTATTTTCCTTTATGTTTTTCTGTAACAGTGGCAGCATCAGACAAAAGAAGCTTCTTCAGGAAGCAACCTTCATGGCATGCACAAGACACACTGCAAACCCTAGCTAGCTTGATGACTTGTTGCCGACACCAAATGATGCAAGTAAAGGAGAAAATGACCTTTGTTTCCCTTCTCCTGTCATCTTGCATTCACTCAAATCAGTGAAGCTGCCACCACCATTCTGTGACTTTTCTTCTTCATGGTTTAGTAGATCTTTCTTTCTCTGTTCAAACAAACAAAGCCTTAGTTTTAGACAGACTTGCAGACAGATGAACTAACTACTTTTTCTCCCATATAT